ATGCCGCCCTACACAGGGCCTTGTTAGACGAGACAGCCTCAGCACTTGGCATACAGTCAGCCACATTGCTATTAGACATCCAGAAGTTCTACGACAATATCAAGCTCGCCAACCTCATTATGGTCGGCCTCAACTGCGGCTTTCCCCCCATCATTCTACTACTGGAAGTACAGCTATACCTGGCGCCCAGATTCTTGCGCAGTCGACAATGGGTGAGTATGCCTATCTTCTCCTCCAAAGGCATCATCGCAGGCTCCCCGCACGGCACGACCTTGGCACGACTCAGATTACTTCCTATTCTACGGCAAGCCCAAGCTCAGGCAGAGCTTGCCCAGATGTGGACCTTCGTAGACGACGCTGTCCTTCGAGTCGAAGGAGTCCTACGCACACTACAGAAGCACCTCCCCCGTGCCGCCAAGACGCTCTGCGACGGTCTGATGGAGTTCGAGCTGCCTATCTCTGACAAGACGGTCCTCATCGGCTCCACCCCCAAGGTCCGCAAATCGCTAGCCAAGAAGTTGCGGCAGTACGACATCCCAGTTACTGCGACCGCCACGGCCGTCGACCTCGGAGTTGACGCGGCTGCTGCTACTCGACGTGTACAAGCCAAAGCCAGGAAGCGACAGAGCTCAGCCGCAGCTAGGTTTCGCAAGATACACCGACTACGGAGCACTGCACAGCAGGCTCGAATCTCAGCAGGACTGTGGCGTACTGGCGCTCTCCCCGAAGGAGTTTTCGGTCATCAGGTGCACGGCCTCGCTCGGCACGCTCTACTACGATGGCGGCGTCAGGCCGCCATTGCGGCCACGGGGGCAGCAGCGGGCCGATGCCTCACCTCCCTCCTCGGCGCCACCTTCGACGGCATGGACCCAGGAGTTTCCCTGAGGATCGAATTCATCGAGGCTTGGCTTCAGCACTGGATACGCCACACGAGCACGCACGCCAGGATCATCAGAGCATGGCCAAGGATCAAGACCACCTTGCTCGCCGCAGGCCCCAAGCTGTGGCGCAGGGTCAAGGGGCCCACTGGCGCGGCCATCGCGACCCTGCTGGAGGCCAGCTGGGAGCCGACCTCAGCTACCACGTGGAGACGCACGAAGGACGGCTACATCGAGGAGTGGAACCTCCCCCCTGCCGATGACCCTGACCTCCTCGACGCCGACATCCACACAGTATTGCAGGACCTCAGCGAGGATTTGCACAGGCTCCTCTGGACTCAGGCCGCTACGCATGACCATGGGGACACGCTGGCTGGAGGTGCGGACATGGTCACCATCCGCATTGAACAAAGGAGGCTCCTCGCAAACGGTGATTTCAGCGACTGGGCCCTCAACAACACCGTCATCAGTGGTGGACAATGGACCAGAGACCGCCTCCACAACGCGGGCTACCAGATCGACAAGAACTGCGACCGATGCAGCGCAGGAGTTCCTGAAGCCTTGTTTCACTGAATGCGGCAGTGCGAGGCGAATGTGGGACCTGAGTTTGAGGCCAGTGACAAGTTACTACCGCGAGCCGTGGCGGGGGCCAATGCTGACCCTGCCCTGTGGCTCCGTGGCATCCCCTCTGTCGCTCTCACTACGCCCGCGTTCGAGCCATTGACTGGGAGGGACGGGTGGGAGTTTGTTGGTGCGGTGCGGGAGGGGTTGCCGTCGTGGGAAGGAGCTCGTAACGCTGAGGGCGAGTTGTTTCTTTTTGGCGACGGGTCTGGCGGCGCCTGTTCCGACGACGTCAGGCGACGCCGTGTTGGTTCTGGCCTCGCGGCCCTCCGATGGGACCCACCCTCGGCCTCCTGGACCCTCCACGCGGGCCTCCTCGCCCCCCTCCCAGGCCCCCGCCAGACCGTCCCAAGAGGCGAATTGCATGCGTTTTGCCTGGCACTGGAGACGTGCCAGCAGGATTTCACGTTTGTTACTGATCGCCTAGCCCTGCAGCGCGGCTGGCAGAATGGCAGATGTCTCAGACCTGGCAGCCTCAGAGGCAAGAATAAGAATGGGGATCTCTGGCTGAGAATTCGGCACCTCGTGCAAAATCGATCTGGCGGCTGCTCTTCTGTCACGGTGCTCTGGGCCCCATCTCACGCCGATCCCCTCACGTTGCTTGGTTTCCAAAAATTTCTGGCTCTCGGCAACCAGCATGCCGACGAGCTCGCGGGAAGCGCGGCCCACAAGTCGGCCACCCTTGCCCTCCCGCCCGTCCCCAGGACCGATGAATACGACGCTATTGCAGCCATCGTCCGACAGAGGGCACGACTGATTTTACGTTCTTTAGGCAAGAATTCAGAGCCTCGAGGACAGTGGCCAGAGAGGCAATCCACCCAGAAGGCAGCCCCGCGCTCTCAGTTGCAGACCGCGATCGCGGCTTCTCAGCACAAATTCGAGCGGTGTGCTGACAAATGGAGATGCCCTGCCTGCCTCATCATCGTTGACGCTTGCCACGTTATTCCAGCTGCCGCCACAGTGTGTGTGCCGCCTTGCCCCCTTCCCGAGTTTGCTGCGTGTGGAGAGGTGCTGTGGTCGAGGGGTCCCCGCGTGATCAGTGGCAAGTTTATCCACCCCTCCCACACTTTGGCCACCATCCCCAAGTGGCAATTGTTCTTCTGTGTTAAGTGCGGCCACACGGCCACGCACCAGGTTAAAAGCCTACTTTTGCCGTGCCCTCTCTCCCACCAAGTGGGAGAGCGCAGGGCCCTGGGACCCACTGGCAAAGGCCTCGAGAACCTCAGCAGGATCAGGCGAGGCCTCCACCCGTCCAGATCGGGCCCCAGCAAGTCAGTGCTAGAGGCTTTGCACGTTTCGGCAGCCGAAGCCGCGATCGGTTCCTACGCGGCGGGAGCTGCCTCCGAGTAAATTGTGAGGCCAGGGGGGCCTGTCGCGGTGGGCCGTGGGATGTCGCCCCCCACGGCCCTCCGAGAAATACTGGATGGCCCCCCTGGCATCTCTGGGTTCCGAACGGACTACGTCCGATTGCTCCACTCCACTCCTCCTCCTCCTCCTCCTCTCCTCCTCCTCCTCCTCCTCCTCCTCCTCCTCCTCCTCCTCCTCCTCCTCCTCCCCTCCTCCTCCTCCTCCTCCTCCTCCTCCTCCTCCCCTTCCTCCCCCCACCCTCTGCCCCCTCCCCCGCGCCGCCATTCCGGGCCTCCCTCCCTCCCCCCCCTTCCCCCCTGCCTCCCACCACCGCCCCAGCGCCGAGCTGTCGACCTCTCACCGGGCCCGCGGCGGGTCTGCGGCGGAGCTCGCGCGCCCCGGCCGCGCCAGTGCTCCGCTCTCCGGGGCGCTGCCGCCCTGCCTCCGTCGGAGCAGATTCGGTATCGTTGAACCGATCCCCATCCCCACCCTTGGCATCGCTCGGACGTGTGCATTATTCCTTGGGCGAGGACCATCGAGGAGCATCCTTGATCATTTGGCGAAGCACGAAACCGAAAAAAACACGGGGAATGGACGTCCGAGCGATGGCCAGCATCGGGGACCCATCGGCTTGGACGCCGCCTTCGGAAGGTCACAGGCGCGATTGGGGTGTCCCTCCAGGGGGGGGGGGGGGGGGGTGGGGGGGGGGGCAAAGCCAGCATCTTTTAACCGATCCCCGTCCCCATCCCGATCCCCTTCGAGACCCCCATCAAATTACCACCCCGGTTGGGGATACACCCCTCGGAACCCGAAGGGAAGGGCCTGTATCCCCATCGAGGGGTGTAAATCTGCCAGTGGAGCACAGGTCACGCCGCTGGGGATGGGGGTCGGTTAAACGATACTCATAGATAGGGTCGGAAGATCGCGCCGCATCGGCGATGCGTCGGGGATGTGGCTCGATGTGGGGCAGTTTCCTCGACGCCTGCGTCGCCAATGCATCGCCGACGTCGCCAGTGCATGGCCGATGCATCGCCGATGCCTCGGCGGTGCGGCGCGATCCTCCGACCCCGTCTGCTCCGCCCCGATCTAGGAGGCCTCTAAGGATGCCAGCGAGCGACGTATCTAGGATACCTCTTAAGGATCTAGGAGGCCTCCCCTCCGAGCTCCCCTCGCCGCCGCCCGCCCTCGGGAGGAGCGGCCGCCCGCCTTCGGGAGACCTCTAAGGATCTAGGAGGCCTCTAAGGATGTGGGAGGCCTCTAAGGATCTGGGAGGCCTCTACGGATCTAGGAGACCTCTAAGGATCTGGGAGGCCTCTACGGATCTGGGAGACCTCTAAGGATCTGGGAGGCCTCTACGGATCTGGGAGGCCTCTAAGGATCTGGGAGACCTCTAAGGATCTGGGAGGCCTCTAACGATCTGGGAGGCCTCTAAGGATCTGGGAGGCCTCTAGGGAGCTAGGAGGCCTCTGCGGATCTGGGGGGGCCTCTGCCTCCGGCCCTCCCCTCCGAGCTCCCCTCGCCGCCGCCCGCCCTCGGGAGGAGCGGCCCGCCCCGACGCTGCGACGGCCCCCCCCGGCGGGCCCGCCGCCCGCCCCTGCGCCGCCGCCCTCCCTGTGCTCCTCCTCCGCCTCCTCCTCGACCGCCTCCTCCGCCTCCTCCGCCTCCTCCTCCTCCTCCTCCTCCTCCTCCTCCCTCCTCCGCCTCCTCCACCTCCTCCTCCTCCACCTCCTCCTCCACCTCCTCCTCCGCCTCCTCCTCCTCCTCCTCCGCCTCCTCCTCCTCCACCTCCGCCTCCCTCCTCCTCCTCCCCCTCCTCTTCCCCCTCCTCCTCCTCCTCTTCTCCTCCTCCTCCTCCTCCTCCTCCGCCTCCTCCTCCGCCTCCTCCTCCTTCTCCTCCTCCTCCTCCTCCTCCTCCTCCTCCCCTCCCCTCCCGCCTCCTCCTCCTCCTCCGCCTCCTCCTCGACCGCCTCCTCCTCCTCCGCCTCCGCCTCCTCCACCTCCGCCTCCGCCTCCTCCTCCTCCTCCTCCTCCTCCTCCTCCTCCTCCGCCTCCGCCTCCTCCTCCTCCTCCTCCGCCTCCTCCTCCGCCTCCTCCTCCGCCTCCTCCTCCGCCTCCTCCTCCTCCGCCTCCGCCTCCTCCTCCTCCTCCGCCGAGGTGCGCTTCACCGCGGAGCAGGTCGAGGCGCGCCGGGCCCGGCGCCCGCGGTCCGGCTGCGGCGCGGCCTCGCGGGCGGAGGTCGGGGGCAAGGACAGGGTCCAATCGGGCATGGCCCCCTACAGGAGGGGCACTCCAGAATAGTCATGCAACAGTCAGGGGGCGCTGTTCCGATGATTTGTGGGCTATGTTTGAGCATGTTTTGACTATGTTTGGTTTCTCGTCCAAATCCGCCTGTACGGGGACATGCCCGACCTAACGACAGGGGGGGATAGTCATGGGGGGAATGCATCGACCCCGAATCGCGCATCGATCGCCGATAGGGGCCCGATAGCCCCTATTGGGAGCCTATCAGCGATCTATCAGCGATCTATCGCCGACTCCAGGTCGATGTTTCACCCACGTGCCTATCAGCGATCTGTCGGCGGGCACTCCTGTTTGCCCCCCCCACGCGGCGGGCCCTCTGCCCGAGCCAGAGCGGGTTCGGCTGGAGCGTGTTTCTTTGTGTTGCTTGGGGCACAATGGGCATGATAGCCCCCGGCCCCCCTGCCCCCCCCCCCACAGCGTAATGCCCCGCGCCCCCCAGTGCGCTCCAGACACTGCCGCCGTGCGCACGGCGGGGGGGAGGCGTTGCATTAGATCCCCCCCCGCTGGTCCCTTCACCCCCTCCCCCCCCTTGATGCCCATGATCGCCGAAAATAAAGGAAAGCGCCCATGGCCACCCCATGACCACGGGAGCACACTGGAATTTCTCTGAAGGTTCCAAAGGTTTCTTATCGGGGTTCAACACCATTGTTCTAAGGTTTCAAGAAAGTCCAGTCCCCGAGGCGCGATCCAAGTTCGTCTCAGGCGATCGCAAACATGGATCAAGGGGGCGTGGATGAGCGAGGGGTCCCGCTTCCATGGGAAATCGCGGATTTCCGCCGCCAAACAAGGCGGCACCGGCCGCATTTTGGGAAGGGCACCTCCCCCGATCCATGGATTTGGCGACCGCGCGCCAAATCCATGGATCGCTAATCCATCTTTGCGCGCCCCCGAATGACCACGGGAGCAGGTCCAACAGAATTTCTCTGAGGGCTCAATGGCTTTTCCTCGGGGTTCAACACCATTGTTCTGAGGTTTCGAAAAATGTCCAGTCCCCGAGGCGCGATCCACGAGAGGGGTGTGCCAAACTTGGCTGGTTGGTCGCTCGGTCGGCCAGTTGGTTGGCTGGTGGATGGGTTGGCTGGCGAGTTGGTTGGTTGGCTAATTGGTTAGTTGCTTGGTTGATTGGTTTGCTGGCTGGCTGGCTGGCTGGTTGGTTGGTTGGTTGGTTGGTTCATTGGTTGGTCGGGTGTGTTGTTTGGTTGGGTAGTTGGTTGGTTGATTGGTCCGTCGGCCAGTAGGTTGGTTTGTTCGTCGGTTGGTTGGTTGGGTGGTTGGTCGGTTGGCTGGTTGGTTCGTCGGTCGGTCGATCGGTCGGTTAGTTGGTTGGTTGCTGGCTGCCTGGTTTGTTTGTTTGTTGCTTAGTTGGTTCGTTAGTTGGTTGGTTGGCTGGTGCGACGGCTGGTTGGTTGGCTGGTGCGTCGGCTGGTTGGGTGGTTGGTCGGTTGGTCGGTTGGTTGGTCGTTTTGTTGGTTTGTTGGTCGGTCGGATGTTTGCTCTGCCGGCCGATCGTTCGGGCGGTCGGTCGGTTGCTTGCGCGTTTGGTAGGTTGGTTGGCTGGCAGGTCGGTGGTTCGGTTTTTTGACCTTTTGACCTCTTTGCCAGTCATCGGGAAGAAGGAGAACTATCATGGATTCGGATGCTATCGCATGTTAGGAAAAGCCACGGGGCGGATTGTTTGTGAATGTTACCACATGCGTATGATATGGGTTGTCACAGAGTACGTAGTATCAGTTTAACACCTATGTCTGCAACATACGCGCTATTGTGTGGCATGCTTCCACGTCATGTATTGTAACACGTGCGCGACCTTCATTGAGACACATCATGCACACAGTATCTATGGACACCCATGCCGTACCGACATCGTCACCATCGCAATGAACGTGCGGTTGGGACACATTGATATCGCTGCCGGAGCAAATCGAGACCGTGACCAGGGCAAGTTGAAACGTTACCGGGCCAAATTGCGGGGCGAATTGGACCAATGGGCGGGGCTAAATGAAGGGCGAATTCGATGGCGAGTTGACAAGCAAAAATAAAGGGGATAGGAGGACGCAGGGACAACACGAGAAAAACTAAGAAGCGAACCGAATCGCCGAAGAACGCGAGGACTTGGCTGCGACGGTCGGCGGTGCAATCCTTGGAAATAATCATGGCGTGGCAGCGAGAATCCTTTGCAGGGGTCCACGAATCGTAGCCTCTTGCGGTCTGCCCCGCCACTCGGCCCCGCCACTCGGGCCCGCCACTTGGGCGCGCCAGTGGTCGCGGCAGCAGTTGGTGAGCGCCCCGTCCCGCGTGTGCTACTCCAGCCCCGTCTGTGAATTCCAAGAGGAGAAAACTACCACGCACGGCAGGGCTTCGGGTGATGTTTCCGGGGCCCTATATATACATTGGGCAATTGCCATTGCCGCACAGCTTCCTCCAGGCACGGGCGCACGCTTTCGAGTGCACCCTGGCCCCGCCCAGGGCGAGGCCAAGGTGCTGGATGATCGGTTCCAGCATGCCAGTCGGTTGCAGCGATAGGCCAGCGCCAGGCCAGGCGCAAACCACAACTTCGCCAAGCTGCGGGGCTTAGCCTCCAGTTAAACACCGCCCCAAGCGTTCCAGCCAAGCGTTCCAGCCTCCGCCCTCCGGCCCCAAGCGTACAGATCAAGGCCCATCCCAAGTGTTTTAGTCAAGCATCGTCCTAAGCGTGTCAGCATTTGAAGCAGTTATCAAAAATCTTGAATCCAATTGGTCCCGCCCGTTGGCTCCTCGAAATTCTTGTTAGTGATGGAGAGACATGAGCAAGTAAGCCGAGGGAGAGGACGGAGATTGCGAAGGAAGTGGAGGGAAACACAGGGGAGAGGAGGGGAGCGGAAGGATGAGGGGGGACGGAAGACGGAGGACGGGGAGAGGAGAGAGGAGAGACAGAGAGAGAGAGGGAGAAGCACGGAAAGAGGAAGGAGGAAAGAAGGCGGATGAGAACGGAGAGGGGGCGAGGGGTGGGGGGCGGGAGGGGCGCCGCGGGAGGGGCGTCGCTGGAGGGATGAAGAAGAGGAGGAGGAGGACGACGGCGCGTCCGCCCGCGCGCGCGGGACTCTTCGTGGCAGCGGACACTCGATTTGATCCCCTTGAGCTCTGCCCTTTGATCCCCTATCTGATTTCGCACGTAGTGGCCGCTGCAAACTGCGCGGCGTCTTCGTTGCTGTCTGCAGCCGCTTGCAGCTTTCTGGACCCCCCCTGTCCCTTGCCGTGCCTCGGGTCAGAGAGCCGGCTGCTGCGCAGCGGCTGCGCTCGCTGCGACGCGGTAAGCAACAATCGCTATCGGGCGAAGAGATCTATGCACATGCACCGATCCTGGCAAGGCCCATCCTTGACCCAGGATCGGTGCATATGCCTTCCTGGCCAAGGTAGGAGGGCGTATGCACCGATCCTGGGCTCAGGATGGGCCTGGCCAGAATCGGTGTATGTGCATAGTTCTCTTTCCTCTATCGCTACCCCAAGGTCTGGGTAGCGGTGGTCACCACCCACCAAACCACCCCAACCCAACCCGAAGGCCTCAATGTGCCCTCCATTTCCAGTGGGGGGGGGGTCGGGGAACATCGGACAAACACAGATGGAGCCCGTACCCCCCCCAACCCGAAATTCGGGTCTTCGGGTTGGGTTGGGGTGGTTTGGTAGGTAGTCAGGTGGGTGTGGAGTTGACATGCCAGGGTCGGGTCTTGTGTCTGGCGGCGCCGCACCGCGCCGCCCGGGAGGTGCACGGCATGGTGCAGTTCATCAAGAGGTGCGCCCCGCGCGGAGGGGGCCAGCGGCGCGCGCAGGGCATCGGGGGCATTGCCGGATGCGTCCCTGGCCCAAGGTGTCCCCAGGAATTCCAGTCAGGGCCCCGAATCATCCAGGCTGTGGGCCAGGTTCGTGCCTCAGGGGCCCACCGATGAGCGGATCGGTAGTGTGCCTGTGGTGTTCTCTTCTGTCGCTTCGCTTCCCCCCCCCCCTCCAGTTGAGATTTATTCAGGTCCCCCCCATGGGCGCGAAGATAATCGCGCTTCGCGCGGCGCGGCCTGGGCCAGGAGCGGTTGCCTTTTTCTCGGGGTGGCGGCGCGAGGGCGCTTGTGCGCGAAGATAACCGCGCGTCGCGCAGTGCGGAGCGCAATGTGCTAAGGTAGGTGACCTGACTGAAATCATCCCCGCCTCGCACGGCCCCCCCCTCCGAGGTGGTTGTCCAGCGCGGAGGTGCGGGAGAGGCACACGGCTGGTTCCACGCTGCCGCTGATGGAATGGTTGCGGCGCACGTCCAGCAGCGCCCCCGCCCGCCTTGCCGTAGTGGGGTCGCCTTCGGTCGTCGCAGCTCGCCGTCCTCGTCTTTGTCTCGGAGGGACTCAATGTATGCAGCGGGTAAGCGAATCAATCAACCAGGTGTTTTTCGTCAGCGTACCTGGGTTTCTTCGCAGCGCGCGCTGCGCGGTGAGTTCCCGCGGGCGTCAAGGGAAGCTGATGCGGTCGGGGTACAATGGTTCCCGAAGGGTTTTGAAGTTCTTGGTCTTGAGTGGTCGGGGGCCATCAAGGTTGTAAAGTTTCGGTTTTCATGAGGGCGCTGTTTGAAAGTTTGAAACGTGAGAAGCTATAAAATGTGACGGCTTGAAATTCATATTAGCTGTACGACTAGCAAATGTTCACTGTCAAGCTTACCAACAACACGAACCGTGTTCCTTTCCCCAACGCGCAAACGTTCAAACATTGAAAACCCGTGGTTTTCAAAACGTTCAAAGTGTCCATTTGTCAAATATGTAGTATGTGAAAAGGTTTTCAAATTTTGAATCTGCGCTTCCCCAGATAAATGGAAGTTGAAATTCTTGACTCTTCGCGTATCCCCACCAGCTGCGTTTCTCCCTGGGACCCTGTGACTGTGAGGGACTTGCTGTCTTGGGTATACGACGGTTTCTGTTCTTCGAGCGCTTCGCATGGGCGTGTGGGTCGCCTGGCGCTAGGTCACATAGTTGTTCGGTGCACGTCCATTCCCGAGTGACCTCGCGTTCTCACAGAGTGGCTACCTGTGTACCCCCGCTGCGTCCAGACCAGATCGCTGGTCCTCTGAACGCAGGCGCATCGCTCAGCAGTGGGTCGGGTCTCGCCTTTGCCTGTTCGGCCTCAGGCTTCCCCTTCCGCCGCGGATGCGTTTTCTGATGCTGCGACAGTTCGCTGGCGCTGTCAGAATCCCCCTCCTTGCTGGACGACGTCACCAGTTTCAGTCTGCTAATACCCGTCAGACTCCCTGGGCTGACTTTCTCGCACGGAGATCGTTCCCACCACCTCGCGGTTGTCCCGACACGATCACGACCGGGAACGCACTGCGCGCCATTTTGGCCGCGCCTGGCTTGCCCCTGGTTGACTGACCCTCAGACTCCCTGGGTTGCAGCTTGCACGACCGCCTCAGGTGACTGACCTTTCAGACTCCCTGGGATTGCACGACCGCCTGGCCTCTCAGACGCCCTGGGTTGCCGCCCCCCTCGCCGCCTGATCCGCGGCTCCCGCGCGCGCCCGGGAATTTAGTCGCGGCCGCAGCCCGACCGTGACTGCTCGCCGCCGGCGCTTCCGCCTGCGGCTGTAAAATATATTATTAATAATAATAATAATACTAATAATAATAGTAATATTAATAATAGTAATAATAATAATAATAATAGTAATAACGATAATGATAATAATAATGATACGAATAATAATAATAATAATCTTAATAAGAATAATAATAATGCTAATAATAATAATAATAGTAATAATGATAATAATAGCAATAATAATAATACATATTATTATAATTTTATATGTATATATTCAAAAAAGCGCTATCGCGCTCGGCCGCCTCTGTGAGTCTCGTTCTACACCGGGCGTCGCTCCTTGCTTCGTTATTCCGTTCGCAGGTGGCACAGCCTGTCCCTGCCTGCTCGGCGTCCGACCCGCTTCGTGCGTCTGCGAACCACAAAGTATCCCCACCAGCCCATCCAGAAACGATGCCCACGAGAGCTGGCAGGGGGAGGGAGGAAGAGACACGCATAGTCAAACAGCGAGGGAGGCTGGCCTGGACGGCGTGTTGGGGCCATCTCCGGGCCCAGAGGAGGAGGAAGAGAAGGAGGAGGAGGAGGAGGAGGAGGAGGAGGAGGATAAGGACGAGCGAGGAGGGGGACGAGGAGGAGGAGGAGAAGGAGGAGGAGGACGAGACGTCGTCTTGCGTGCGTCGGGTGAGCTTCTTGGGCATCTTAGGGGGCCGCTCTGGGGCCTCTCGGGTGCCTCTTGGAGACCTCTTGGGTGGAGCTCTCTTGGGGGCCTCTTGGGAGCCCTGGAGGGTGCCATCTTGAAGGAAGTCGGTCTACAAGGGGGGGGTCCTCGATGTCTGCCCCCCCCCGTGGGGGCCACGAGCCTGGTGAGGGGTGTCAAAAATTGGCCCTCCCACTGGCCGAGCAAAAAGGACCCCCTCTGACACATCGGCCCCCCTTTCAAACAAACCCAAAAGACGGGAGGGGGAGGGCTCCCCCCCGAAGGTAAGAGAGGTCGTGGAAGAAAAAATCACCCTTAGACCATTCGTCGCCCACAGGGCTGGTGGGATTTTCGTAATGTTCGAAATTACCACTTCCAAACATCGCCTGAAAGCGCGTTCATGATAAATTGCCCGGCGCCTTCAAGTAGGAATGCTCGCGAATGTTCAGACACGTTTCTCCTTCATCTAATGGTGGAAGGGAGGCGGAAAGCAGGGCGGACGATTTCCATTCCCCTTGCCGCTCGTCGCCGACGACGCCTTCGACATTTTTAGTTTTCGCTGTGCAGGAGGAGGAGGAGAAAGAAGAAAGGAATGGATTGAGGAGCAACGGAGGAAGGTAAACATGGAGTGAACGCGCGTTTCCCGCGATACTTGGAATTGCCAATGGTTCAAGTTTCGGCAATGTCAGTTGTTTAAGCATTACAATTTCGGATGATATCTTGAACGTTTGATAATTGTTTGGTTTATCGGAAGGGGGCAAGCCTGAAGTTTTGCAAGCTCGACAGCGAAGGCTTGCTAGCCGAGGAAAGTGTCAAATGGTCAAACAGTCCAACGTTGCAGATTTCGCACGTTTTAAACTTTCAAGCGTCCTTCCCTTCCGAAGCACAGCGCTTCAATTTTGGAAAATGTCAAACGTCCAAAGTGTGAAAAGCCGCGAATGTTTAAGCACTCCTTGTGCCCCCCCGTCGGATCTCTGCGCTCTGATCATCGAGGGTCTGGGCTGCCACGCCCGCGCTGCACACCGCGTCGTTTGTCCGGCCTCGGAACACAGCATCTCGGCCACAGGCCGTGGTGTCTAGGCTTATGTCAGGCGTGCCCCCCTACAGGGGGATTGTCGACGAAAAATAAACAACTACCCCCAAAAGATCAAACACTATTCAAAAAATAGTTCCCAGACTATCATTATTTTTGTTGGATTGTTTTGTGGGTATGTTGCATTTTTCGTCGAAAACCATCCTGTAGGGCGACAGGCCCAACATAAGTCTAGGCGATCTGGCACCCCACAGGTTGGGGAGTCGGGGCGTCCATGTACCGCGCTCCCTGGCCGACCGCACACCATGGGGAATGCTCCGGACCCCTGCCGGAGCTTCTCCGTCGCCGTCGCTAGTCGAGAAGCCTCGGGGGCCCACGCCACCAGGACATCGTGGCGTCGGTGGCGCGAAGGGTCCCGATCGTCATCCCCACTGTGCAGTCACCCGAACAAGGACGCGCGACTTTGCTCAGGGTACCCTTGCGTCCTTGCTCTTCCTTGCCCTTGCGTCCTTGGGGTTTTCGTCGTCCGCTGCCCCAAGAATCCCAACCTCGGCTTCCTACGGTCTTGCGTCCTTACCGCGCGTCCTGATTAGGGTTTTTGACTGTACTCCTCGGATCTCCTGCTCCACGTCCTCCCTGGGCTCACGCTCCCTGTCCCGCCTGCCACTCCTCCTACAGACTGCACCGCATCCGCATGCTGCTGCTGCTCCTCTCCCTCGCGGCAGCGACGAGGCGGAGGAGGGGGGAGGGGGGAGGGATCGTAATTATGGACTTCCCTCTGCTCCCCCCACTTCCTCCTCACCGCTGCTGCAGCTTATTCTTCAAGCCCGTGAGGCCGTGGAGGAGGAATCAGAGACGGGCGGCTCCAAGACGCCACCCAGAGGCCTCAGGAGGCCTCTGGGTTGGGTGTCCCAAGCAGGCCCCAGAACGTCCCAAAACCTTAATTCCCGCGTCGGCATCACCAAGACAAGTTCATACCGTGCGTGCGCCGGTCCCGAATGGGCGAAGCGTGCGCTCCGAAATCCTGTGCCATGAGCTCGGATCGGACGTGCGCCTCCAGCAGAGCCACAGCGTACTACGCAGCATGCCCGTCTGCGTCCCACCGAGGACGGAGGATCCAGCACGATGACGACGACCACGGCCACGGCCACGGCCACGGCCACGGCCACGGCCACGACGACGATGACGACGACGACGACGACGACGGCGGCGGCGATGGCGACGACGAAGACGACGGCGACGGCGACGATGGCGACGGCGACGGCGACGGCGACGGAGGTTGGCGACGGCGACACTGGCTTCCCACCCCGCCGGCGGGCGGAAGGCCATGCGCCCGCCGCCCCGTTCCAGATGCTGCAGGGCGTGGAGCTCAAGGCCTCCCCGCCCGGGGCCCGCCGCGGGGCGGCGGCGGGTTCGAGGCGGCCAGAGGCCTCCGGAGGACTGCGGCCTCCAGTCCGGGCCTCCCGCTCCCGATCCCAACGGGAGCGCTTCTCCGAAGGGCTTGGGCGGCCCGTCCTCCTCCTCCGCCTCCTCCTCCTCCTCCACCATCTCCTCCTCCTCCTCCTCCATCTCCTCCTCCTCCTCCTCCTCCCCCTCCCCTTCCTCGATTTCCTCCTCCTCCTCCTCCTCCTCCTGCTTCTCCTCCGCCTCCTCCTCCGCCTCCTCCTCCTCCTCCTCCTCCTCCTCCTCCTCCTCCTCCATCTCCTCCTCCGCCACCTCCTCCTCCTCCTCCTCCTCCTCCACCTCGGGTCGCCTACGGCCCCGGGGGAAACCGTGCAATCCCAGCCTCCGGGTGTCGCTTCTGGGGTCGCGGGCGGCCCTTGGGGCCATCATGTATCGTGGACGAGAATAGAAGATATGGATGTGTGGGGCAAGACGCACAATAAGCACAATGAGAAGAATAATGACGGATGATCTTTCTCTCACGTGCAGACTGCGCTCCACACGCTCTCGTTCCGGAGGGGCGGGCCAGGGTTGCAAGGTAAGCGCCCGCTTTGCTATGGCCATTTCCCAGACCGCCGACGGCGGCCCCTCCGGTAGCTCGGGATGCAGCAGGGGAAGAGAATCTGTCAGATCAGACGGCATGGGAACGAATCTGCTGAACACCCTCGTGCCGACTTCAAACGAGACACTGCTTCTTTTCCCCCCCTCCCCCGGCAGATCCCGCCGGGGAGGGACGACGGAGCGTGGGGAGGCATGAGGAGGCCCCGACAATACTGATCGATAAGCCCTGGAGGTCCTGTGAAAGGAGAGGGACGGGGAGAGGAAGTGCAAAATGTGGCATCAGATCTATCGGAACTATTGCAACAGGACCGCCGTCCGACGACCGCAACCCCCACCCCGAGAAGTTGCCCCATGGGGAAGGGGCCGAGGGTTCTGGAGCCACGGGTTGAGAAGTTCCATCGTCGGATGTCAGGCGTCGAGATTTCGAGTATCGAGGTCCGAGCGGTGTTGGGTCATTTTTGGGGCTCTTCTGGACCTCCTGGGGCGCTCTCGTCACATCGGCTTGATTTCCAGTCGAACTTCCCGGGCAAAACGCACCCTCAGACATGTCTTGGATGGTCGATTTGAAAGAGGGCCCAGACCTCCGACGTCTTGAAGCATACAAGGGTGCTGAAGATTGTCATCCGTGTTCGGCGTGAGGGGACCGTGACTCGGGGGAAAACAAACCTACCTCGCTTTTGACCACCCTCGCTTCCAAGAGATACCAAACGATGCCAAATTGCGGCCTGTACTGGTCAGGCCGCTTGACGAGGAGGCGCGTGGTATGGCTTGGTTTTGCCTGGAAGCGAAAGCGGGGGAGGTAATTCACGCTCTAAGTGACCGGGATCTTCCCCATGCCTCACTCCTGGTTTTGGTCCTGCTTCTGCCCCTCCGAGCTCCGCCTCCCTCACCTCATCTGCCAACCCTCCTGCTGCCCCCCCTCCTCCTCCTCCACCTCCTCCTCCTGCTTCTCCTCCTCCTGCTTCTCCTTCGCCTTTTTACGTGGTTTCAGACTTCTAGCGAGGCTCGCAACGTCGTGCAATATGATTCTCATGGGCGAGAGAAGGAGAGGATCAAGTGCAACTCAAAATAATAGGGTGCAGCTGATTGCAAATCCTCTCGCGCTCCTCCGCCCCCTCCAGTGGTACAACTGTCGAGCGTGCGCAAAATTGTGCCCGCAGGGCCTTATCTGACGAGGATGGCATAATGGTGGTGAGATGATGAGAGACAGTCTTCCTCCTCCTTGTCCTCCTCCTCCTCCTCTTCCTCGTCCTCCTTCTCTTCCTCCTCCCAGCCCTCCTCATCCTCATCATCCTCAACCTCATCCCGTTCCTTCCCCCCTTCTCCCCATCGCCACGTCTCCCTCGCCCTACAATGGAAACCCATGCCAAGAACCACCCTGCTTGCCTCCAGGGTGCCCTGGGTTTCTTGGGTTTCGATGGGTTTGCTATGGAAAGTGTGACTTCCCCACACCAAAAATCAAGGGACGCCCTGAGGTCTCAGGGTTGGGCTTCATGTCGAAGGTTTCTTATGGTCGAGCTCCCACTGTACACCTCCTCTCCTGCACCCAGCCCTCCTCCCCCTCGTCATCCTCCCAGCCCTCCTCGCCCTCCTCTTACCATCCCTCCTCACCCTCATCATCCTCAACCTGCTCCCTCTCCTCCCCATCCCCACGTCCTTCCTCGCCCCACTCTCCTCCACCCCCCCCTCCCCCGCCGCCGCCGCCTCCCGCCGCCACCGCTGCCTCCGGCGTCGGTGGCGTCGTCGTCGCCGTCGCCGTCGGCGCCGGCGCCATCGCCGTCGCCGCCGCCGCCGCCGTCGCCGTCGCCGTCGTCGTCGTCGTCGTCGTTGTTATAGTCGTCGTCGTCGTCGTCGTCGTCGTCGTCGTCGTCGTCGTCGTCGGCGTCCCCGCAGATCTGGGCGGCGGAACAAAACCAGCGATCACCAGTTTTTCGGCGTCTTCGGCCTCTGGAGGCCGCCTTCTGGCTCTGGGGCCATCCGAAGACGGCTCGGCACGCAGACCGGGCCCTTGGGAAGTGGTGGAAGCCCCGTGGGCGGGCATCACGGAACAGTTGCGGCGTCGGAGCAGAGGGCCGTCGTCGTCATCGTCGTTCTTGACGCCGCCGATGTCGTTGTCTTCGGCGTCGGCGTTGGCGGCATCCGTTGTCTCGGGTTTCGTCTTCAACGACGTCGCTCGAGAAGGAAATCTCACATGAGCACAAGCTGTCGGACGTACGCTTAAGTCGGATTTTGGACGAAAGGTAAGACATATTAGACATATTCTAAACACGTTCAATGATAGTCAAACATAGTCGAAACATCGCCCCCACATGATTTTTACATATTTTCGATTACTCCTCCTGTGAAAGGACACGCCCGATTTAAGATTATGGTCTGAGTATGTTTGAGTTGTTTTTATATGATTGTTTGAATATTTTTCATTTTTCTACCAAATCCGCCTGTAGGGGGACAGGCCCGAATTCAACGTAAGCGCGGATTCCCTGGATCGGCGCTGGACCCCCCCGCGGCGCCACAGGCCCAGCTAAGGGGGTCCAGCGCCGAGAAGAAGCTCGCGCGGACCTTCGAGAGCTTGTTCACGCCGCCATTCCTTGTTTATCGCCGCCGCCGTCGTCGTCGTCGTCGTCGGCCGAGCCGCCGCCGCCGCCCCGCGAGGCCGAGGTGGCGCCCTGCATCGACAGGATCAGGCTCGCCCGTGGGCCGCGGCGGCCGTCCGATCCCCCCCCCCTACGATGCGGGGGGCGGCGGGCTCTGGGGCGGGGCGCCGGGGAGGGTCGAGGGAAGGGGCCCCTCTCTCTCTCTCTCCCTCTCTCGGTCGCGTGTCCGCCCGCAGCTCTCAGAATGGGCGCCGGCGCAGTCCCCCACGTTCTCTCAAGCGGGACAGGTGCCCCAGAAGCGACACGCGGAAGGTGGCCACTGTGCCCCCCCTCTCTCGTGTTCTTGTTGTCTCTCCCAGGCCTCTGCGGCTCAGAGAGGTAGGCGTTCCCCTGAGGGGCTCTGAGACTGCGGGCCAGTCTCAGCACGATCCACTCCTCCCGAGGTTGGAAGGGCAAAATGCCTTGTCGCTCCCCGCAATCACCGCTGCCATCGGAAGAGGCTTCTCTTGAGGTTTCTGTGGCTTTCAAGCGTTTTCGAGGGCCTGCGGGGCCCAAGATGGTTTCCACCGCGGGCGCTCCAGGGATGCCGGAATCGTCCCAGACGGCTGCTTGAGGCCCGAGTTATCGCCAGTCGAGGCAGCGGCGACCTTCGGATCCATGGCATTGTTTTGCGTCTTGGGTTTCCAGGCCCCCGACCGCCGAAATCCATCAACACCACGTTTTGGTTTGACGTTTCGATGCAATACGTTGTCTCAACATTTCGGCCTATGGTAGCCACGCGGCAATCCCCACAGGGGTTCCCGCAGGCCCTGAGGATGTTCAAGCGGGCCCGAGGCGCCCACAATATCTCCCGACATGACCTCCAAGGCGGCCCCACGACAGCCCACGACCTTCCCGACACTGCCTCCGCGCCCCTTGCTGGAGCAACTTCTGCTCGCTACCACCACGCCCCGACCGTGCGCCGGGGCCTCCCGAGCAGCATGGCGGCGCGCCTCGCAGCGCTTCTCGTCCTCCTCCTGGCCGCGCCGTGCGTGGGCGAGTTCGACACCACGGGAGAGGCGTGCGAGGAAGTGGTCCTGCTCCCAGCCGCGGCGGCGACTGCCGCGGATCTCGCGGCGACCACGGCGACCACCGCAGGCCGCAAGGTCGAGGAGGAGACGACGTGCAAGAATGTTGGGGAGGTTTGCGATCCGACGGATCCGGATTCTCCGTGTTGTGAAGGGCTGACTTGTTGGGATTCTTCTGTCCTGGGGGGTCCAGTTTTGGAGTGGTCGCACCCCGCATCTGTCAGAGACCAACGTTTGCTTCGTACTTCTACGTGTCGCTTGTGAAAGAAAGGACCTTCCCGATATTGCCCCAGGACGCCGACAGATGGCCCAGGTGGAGCCCAAGACGGCCCCAGGGGCCCTCGTGATAGCGCCTCGGAGGTGCCGGAGGCTTTCGTCGCCGCGGCTGGGTCCGCCACGAGAATCGGGCAAGGATGGCCCCCAGAAAGGGGGGACGCTAACCCAGAGAATGGGCTTTCAAGCGCCTGGGGGCGGGCGGACCCTAACGGGCATGGGGCGGAGCGGGCGGGCGGAGCCTCGAGTGCTCGTCGGGCGGCCCGGGCGTCGCGGGCAAAAGATCGCGGGTCAGATCCTGCAGGTTCGGCCCCTGGGCGCTGCTTTCTCGGCTTTCGAATAGGGGATCGGCTTCAGAATCTGCGCGCCCCAAACCTGATTTGTTCGTCGAGTCCACGAGACATGCGCAGGACGTTCGTAGAGCTACGAACATTCCACGCACGACTCGACGAGAAAATCAAGCTCGGGGCACATCAATTCTGCAGTCGACCCCCTGTTCGGGGCCCGGGGGCGCCGTCAAGCAACGGCCCCGGAGGCGGAGGGGCGGCCCCGGGGAGGGTGCCGAGGGCCGCGGGGGCCCCCCGCGCCACGGAACAGCTGCGGCGCGTCGCAGGGGAGGGGGGCCTCCTCCTCTGGGGTGGAGGTTGTTCGACGCGTTCGGTTTGTTTTTTTGTTGGGGTGGGGCCGCGCGTGGCCGGGGGGAGCCTCTGACGGCCTCCGGGAGACCTCCTCCTCGATGGAGGGCCCGAGGCGGGCGGGGTGCGCGGAGAAATCGGCCCCTGCGCGGCATGCAGCTTCCGCCGGTCGGGCCCTGGTGCTTCCTTCGGCTGGTCTGTTTCGGGGGCGAGGCATCGTTCGGCTCTGCAAAGAGGGGGTGGGGGGGCCAAATGAACAGGAGGAGGAGGAGGAGAAAGGAGGAAGATGACAGAAGCAAGGAGAGACAGTGGGAAGGGGATGCGAGGGAATCGGGGCAGAATAGGTCGTGAGAGGAGGAGGGCAGGATGGTGGGAGTTGCTTGAGGAGCCGAGGCAAATGGCAATGAGGATGAGAATGATGACGACGATGGCGTTGATGACTTGGTGTGACTACGACTATCTCATTTGTCACGTGTACGACAGCCACCGGTGGCTCACCTTGAGACGGCTACCGCTGCGGCGGCGACAGTTTCTATCACTTGTGCCACGAGAGCTGCCCCTTGCATTACTCTAGTCCACATCCTGCAACAACTCCTGTTTTGCACAGCGCAATACAGCGAAGCACGACTTGTGTGTTACAGCAACCACTGCTGTTACAACTTGCAGGCTATGTCGCACCTGTCGTTCGACAAAATGGTCATGCCCACAGCTGTGCAGCAGTATTTCCAAAATCTGTCGTTGGGGCCGGTTTGGAGTCTCACAATCGGCAGCAACATCACATTTACGCCCTTAACGCCCCCACCCCTCTCAATCCCGTTCCGCTTTGCTCACTTCCTCTCGTCCACTGACCCCCTAAAGGATTTTCGCAGATTCTCATTCTCATTCGTCCATGGTCTTCCTTCTGCCACCTAGGTGGTCGATAGCCGCCAGATTTGGGACTGACCATCCTGGTTAGGTAAAACACGCAGTGCGAGGGGGACAGGCTTGGCCCTCAACATGGACATTTTGTCGTCCGTGTTGCAACGTGCGTGTCAAGGGGGAAACGGGGCGCACATCCCGCGCGAAAGGCTAAACAACCACTCGTCAAGGCGTCACGCTCATATGCCTTGAGAGTTTGAGCTCCCGACTGGGCGCGGCACACAGTTTCCCGGACGCAACTTCGCCGACGCGCGAGCGGGCGAAAATGCTATTTTCGCCGCTTCGGCGCGGCGCGAATATTTCTTTCGCCAATTTGGAGGGCCTGCGCGAGCGGGCGACTTGTCACCTTCGCCCACGTTCCGTGCACATTTCGCTTGGGAATGGCGCTCACGCGCGAGCGCGGCGCATGGCTCGTTCGCCGAAAAACCCAAACGCCGCGCGGTTTGGTCGCTCCAACGCCGCAAAGTTTTTGAATGGAAATTGATGTGTTGTGTCAGTGCGGCGCATACTTCGTTTTCGCCACGCCCATCGGAAGTTTTGCCGCCTCCGCCTTTGCGCGGCCTGCGCATATTTCCCCGTCGCCACGTCGTCGGACGCGGGGTTGCGCGCGAACGCCCTCTGTTTGCTGGGGGGTATGCGTGCCAATCTGGATATCAAGTTGTGCCACACTTTGTTTTAGGTTGTCAGAACGAGGGTGGGGATTGGCGGGCCTTTCTGATTCGCTCGAACTGGTCTGGTCTCCTTGGCGATCCCTCCTGCACTCCCTGCCTCCTTTCGTCCTCGCTTCCTCCTCCCTTCCCTTCCTCCAAGCCCCCCCCTCTTGCTGCCCTCCTCCCCTGCTTAATTTACCCATCCTCCCTCTCCTCTTCTCCTCCATGCTCCCTCCCTCCCTCCTCTTTCCTCCCCCACCCCCCCTCCACCCTGATCCTCCGTGCTGCTGCACCTCTTCCTTTTTCATGTGTCATTATTCACGTCGTCCTGCTCCTCACCCGCCTCCTCGTCGGCGCGCCATCATTATCCTTCTCCTCTTAATTCTACTCCCAACTCCTCTCCCTGTCATATCCTCTCCCCCCTCCCCTTCATGCTCCCTCATCGCACGAATCTCCCCCCCTTTCTCATCCGCCAGAGGTCCCTCGGCCCCCCCACCTCCGAAAGCCCCCCGAGGTCCCTGGAGGCTGAAGGAACCCAGATGCCCCCAAGCAACGAACGGTGTCATCTCCGTCTTCCTGTCATCTCCGCCTGTCCCCACCGACGGCAGAGTGGCACTCGCGCGTGCGCAGCTGCCGACGGCCAAATCGGACAATACGCACACGTGTCCAGCCCTGCGGTTGGCGCAGAAAACCTTTGGCCCGATGACGTCTCACACCTCACGTCTCCTGCCCTCTTCACCCGCCTCCACATCTGCCCTCGCGCCTCCTCCGAACCGGCATCCGCCCACTTCCTCCCCGGCCTCTCCTGCTCTTCTCACCCCTTTTCAGACTGCAGCTCCCGGGGGGTCAAGTTCAGGGTCTGCGCTGATGACTACGTCCATGGTAGAGAACCGTCGTCTTGAATCCAGGACAGTGCCGCTGAATTACTCTATGGCCCGTTCGGGCTGAATCCAGGATATAGAGGCCCCTTGATCGAGCTCTGCAGCTCTCAATCGTTCCCGCGAAGGCCTCCCAGGGTTTGTCTCCTGATCCCCCCTGGGGCGATGGCAAGGAGGAGGCAGGTAGAGGAGGAGACAGGCGACAGGCAACGAGGAGGTAGGGAAGGGTGAGGAGGGCGAGGATGTGGCGGATGTAGAACGGGGGCTGCGGCCCCAGGTGGTTCGATCTCCTAAGGTGATTGCCTTATTCAGTATGTCGTGTCCTCCTAACCCCCCGCGGCCTTGAGCGGTAGCTTCGGCATACTACTTTCCACGATCACACGCGGGGGCGCCAAGTTCATTGCACGTCGTGGTCTGGGCGAGAGCGGTTGCCCTTCTACAAGGCGGCGGCGCGACGGCGCGAAGATAGCCGCGCGTCGCGTCTCGCCTGGGGGCAATGCGCGAAGTCAGGCTACTCAGAAGCTCGCCCCTCTCCCTTGAGCCCCTCCCCCTATGATGAGAAGCAGGTTCACACTACGACGCGTGCACGTGATGAATTGTCATGTCAGCTCGCGTAGTAAGGATGATCCATTTCCCAAGGGTGCCCTTACATTTTGGCCTCTCCGGTCCATCCGCAACCACTTTCGATGGCCAGCCCCGCTCGAAGCGCCTCGGCATGGGCGTTCGAGGCCCTCGCATCCTCACCGCGCGTCCTTCTTGTGCGGGTTGACTGTACTCCGAGTTCGTTGATAAGCGCGGGGGGGTGCCACCCCCGCCGACAGCCCCACATCGACCCCCGTCGCGGACAACCGCCGCGCGCCGAGGGCGCTCCAGCCCCGTCACGGCGCGCCGGCGAGGCCATGTCGACCCCCGTCGGGGGCTGACCCCCCGTGCTTCTGAAGAAACGCGGAGGAGACGCAAATCGATACGAGGACGTCCTGTTTCTCAGAAACTGGAACATAAACATTACCAGTGGCGGGTTGTTGTTTCAATTCCGCGACTTTTTGAGGGTCGGGGACGACGCCAGGGTGGTGTGGTGTATACCTTTCCCCCGTTTTCCACGGGAAGCGATGAAAAACGTATACACCAGGCTGCTGTATACACCAGGATCCGCGTCTTTGTGCGACTCTCAGCGCAGGGTCGGAAAAAAGCGTCGGTGTCCTCCTTCTGCGGAGGAGGAGGAGGAGGAGGAGGAGGAGGAGGAGGAGGAGGAGAAGGGAGGAGGAGGAGAGGAAGGAGGGGGAGGAGGAGGAGGAGGGATGAGGAGGAGGAGAAGGGATGAGGAGGAGGAGGAGGGGAAGGAGGGGGAGGAGGAGGGAGAGGAGGGGGAGGAGGAGGAGGGGGAGGAGGGGGAGGAGGAGCGAAGGTGCCCCCAGGACTTCCAAGGAGCCCACCCGCGGCCTCCAGAGCACCCTTCACCAAGGCCCTGGCCCCAGGACGGCGTTCTCTGTCTGTTCCCTCTCCGCCTCGTCGCCCCTCCTCCTCGAGCGCGCCCGCGGCCAACTCGGCGACTCCGCTGCCCGCCGCGTGGCCCACCTCCGCCCCCCCCGGGCCGTCCCCCGCCCGGGGCTCGTCTCGGCGCCTCCGGTTCGGTGCGATCCCATTTCTAGGGGAACGAAGAATGACATAAACATACAAACTCGGAGGTCCGCGCGGATTTCTCGGATCCGCGCTGGACCCCCCTGGCGGCGCCTCCAGAGCCGCCCCTGGCGCGCTCCGCGCGCCAGAAAAATGGTTCTGCGCGGATGCGAGGAATCAGCGCGGACCTCAGAGATTTTATGTTTATGGCATTCTTCGTTCCCCTAGTTTCGGTGGCTTCCGATTTCGTTTCGATTCGGCTTCGGATTCCGATTTGGGCTGCGGTTCTTCTTTGGGCGCGTACTACAACCCTCGTCAAAAGTAACCTCAAACATGTCTGACGTTGCTGAACTGTTTGTGAGGAGATACTGCCCCTCCAATGTCGGTCATCATCGAACTTCCGAGTCGTTCCCTGTCAGACCACCTTTGCCCTGGCCCCGAAATTGGAGGGGCGTCTATCAACATTGAAGGGCGCGCCGACATCGCAGGGGCATGTTCGCCATTTTTGATATTAATTTTGATGAGGGTAGTAGCCTGCCGAATTCTGTCGATTCGATTTCTCCTGATTCGGCCGCCAATTTCCGCCGATTCGATTCATTTCGATCGCCGATCCGACTTACCGCTTCGATTCTGGGCTCCCCTGCCCACCCGTCCCCCCTCTTCGTGCCTTCGGCGCCACCGAGACCAGCAGCAGCGGGGTGTTCCTCGGGGGTGAAGCCGGCGACCACCGCCTCTGAGCACGCTGGGCCGCGGATGGCGTACGCGCACACAGGTCAGTGCTCGCTCAGAAATCCGAGGCGGGGACGTATCCATTGCCGCCGCCTTGCAAGGAGAGTGCCGGGGAAGCTCCACTTCCCGCCTCGGCCAGAGCTCGTGCGCGAAAACACAAGTCCGTATCCGCGGCCTCGCGGGCCGCGCCCCTGGCCCGCGACCCCGCGGGTACGCGGCGTATCCTCTCGGGTGCCCCGCGCGAAGCGTAATCGTGCGGCCGCGCATCCGCGGGATCGCGCAGAGTCCAGACCCCGAGGGCGCGGAGGCGGAGGTGTTCACCGTTGGTAAAGGTCGGTATCGTTTAGCCAATTCCCATCCCCATCCCCTATCCCCTTCGAGACCCCCACCAAATTGCTCCCCAGTTGGGGATAACACCCCTCGAAACCCGAAGGGAACGACCTATATCCCCATCTAGGGGGGTAAATCAGCCAGTGGGGCCGAGGCCACACCGCTGGGGATGGGTATCGGTTAAACGATACTCAAAAGGGCCAGGGCCCAGGGGAGGGGGGAACTGGCATTGCTCGGACGCGTGCGTTTTTTTTTTTCTGGCGAGAGCCACCGAGGAGCATCGTGGAGCACCTGCTGTGTGAATGCGGCCACGGCCTCGAAGACACGAAGTTCGAGCCAGAATCTGAGCTCCGTCCCAGAACCGAGACACGAGATAAGTCAGGAGGGAAACAAACACACTGACACAATTAATCGCCAGTTCCCAGGTAAATATAGGAACATATGGGACGTGGGGGGGAAGACAACAACCCAGAAACTATGGCAACATATGGGGAATCTCGTTATTTGTGTGTGTATCTATTGATGTGCCCTTGAGCCCCTTGAATAAGGACCATCATGACTTGGAGGTCGTGCGACAGAAAGACGCGCACGACATCGACGCATGCACGGGGAGCGGGCGTGTCCGAGCGAGGGCGAGGGGGCCGCCGCGCACGAAGGGGAGGAGGATGAGGAGGAGGAGGAGGAGGAGGAGGCGGAGGGAGGAGGGAGGAGGGAGGGAGGAGGGAGGAGGGAAGGAGAGGAGAGAGAAAGGAGGAGGAAGGGAGGGGAGGAGGAGGGAGCAGGAGGAGGGAGGAGGAGGAGGGAGGAGGAGGGAGGAGGAGGAGGGAGGAGGAGGAGGGAGGAGGGAGGAGGAGAGGGGAGGAGGGAGGCGGAGCCCCTCCAGGCAGCTGCTCACCATCCTCGACGGCTGCAGAGGCCCGAGGCGGGTCGCCGCGCACCGCGCGGGCGGCGACGGCGGGGAGACGGAGGGGGAGGAGAAGTTGATGGGCCTGATTTTCACCACCCCTACCATAAGTTGGAGGGGGAGGGGGTCCTCCCTCCTCCTCCTCCTCCTCCTCCCTCCTCTCCTCCTCCTCCCTCCTCCTCCCTCCTACTCCTCCTCCCTCCTGCTCGTCCCTTCTCCATCCTCCTCCCTCCTCCTCCCTTCTCCCTCCTCCTCCTCCTCCTCCTCCTCCTCTTCCCCCTCCAACTCATGGTGGTGGTGGTGGAAAACAGGCCCATCATAAGTCGGGCCTGTCCCTCTACAGGAGGAATAGTAAAAAATTGTAATCTAGGCTTCCTAGATGGGGTCGGAGTAGATGGGGTCGGAGGATCGCGCCGCATCGCCGATGCATCGACAATGCGGGTCGATGCGGAGCCCGATTTGCTTCACGCCGACGTTGCCGATGCACCGCCGACGTCGACGATGCATCGCTGGTGCATCGCCGATGCATCGCTGATAAATCGCCGATACATCGCCGATTTCTGGGCGATGCGGCGTGATCCTCAGACCCCATCTACTCCGACCCCATCTAGGAGGCCTCTAAGTTAAAAATAGTCTGGGGACGATTGTTACACCATTTTTGAGCATATAGGGGGACAGCCCTGACCTAAGGGAAGGAGGATGGGGTGCCGGGCGCAAGGGTATCCAACTGATTTCGCAGTGGTCCAATTCTGCAGAGAAGGCTTCTGCGGTCTCTGCGCATATTCCTCTCTTCCAGGCCGTCGCGGATAGCCCGTTCCAACTCGTTTATATAAGCCTGGCAGGGGAGGTCGCGATGCAGTATTGCGTCTCGTGTTATCCAGCGGCCGTGGAGCAGGGGGAGGGAGGAGGGAAAAGGGAGGCGGAAGGGGGGATCGGGGACAACGACGACGACGATGACGATGACGACGACGGCGACGACGACGACGGTAGATCCGAGATTGGCAGCTTGCCGGGACGGACCCCCCGGGAGGGGCCCGGAGGGAGGCACGCGCTCCCCCCTCCCCCCCGGCCGAAAGCGGGCCCCCAGGAAGGGGAGCCGCTCTTTGCGAGCCAGATCACGACGCCGGATGCCTGGGTGGCCCGAGGGTCACGGGCAGCCCGGGGGGGCCTTCCGAGCTTTGGAGAAGCCGTCCGCGTCTTCGGGGCAGGTTCAGGAATTTTAGCCTGCTTGGGCCCAGAGCCGTGATTTGTCGCAATCTATGCGGGGCAACGCAGGTGGTGCAGTCTACGTGGTCCACACCATGGCTCGCGCAACTTTCCCACCCACCCACCCGCAACTTGGTTTGCAAACCTCATGCGGCGGCGATTGCGATGAGTTCTTGGCGAGTTCTTGGCGGTGACTGGTGCATCTCTGCGGCCGCGCCAGCCCGCGCATGCGCGCGTGCGCAGCGGCCAAGTAGTCTGGCGCGACCGACGAGGCCGCGGTGGTGCTGACCGTTTGGCACATCCCAGCGGGCACATGAGTGCGAGTCGGCGGCTTGGGCGGGTGCGGTATCATGGCAACGTCGACATGTGTAGACACGATGACGATGATAGTGGCGATGTCGGCGACGACAATTGCAGCCACGATGATGGTGATAGTGGCGATGACGGCGCCGATGCCGATCACGCCGACGACGATGACGGCGTCTTCGCGTCGGTGATGAAGGTTTTGGAAAGAATTCCATATGCGCGCGCGGCAGACGCGTGAAAGTGGCTCGCATGGTATTATTTGAAACGGATCGTGCCACCCCGGCACGCGCGCAAGGGCGTTCGAACGATTTCGACATGCGCGCGCGAAACCCTTTTGGTAGTATGTTATGAAATGGTGGACATGCCAGAGATTTCTTAGGAACTCGCAAGAGCGCGCGCGCACGGTTTTGTTGAAAATCCGCGTTGCGAAGCCGTGTGCTGTTTTTTGACACTTGAAGTTGGCACCCCTCCAGGTCCGAAAATCTGTATATAAAAAAAGATTCCGGCATGTACGCGCGACGACGCGCGCGTGTACACCTCGTCTGTTCTTGCAAACGGTTTCTCGCGACGGCACGCGTGCAATGGCTTTCGAACGATTGCGACACGCGCGAGCGCGAAACACGTTTGGTATTCTGTTTTCGCACACGTTGAGAAACTCATGGTTTTGTTAAGAAGTCGCAAGAACGCGCGCACGCTTTTGTTGAATAGCCGCTTTGCGAAACAATGTGTGTTGATATGCTTTGGACGTTTGATTTTGAAATCCTTCCGGAACTTCATATTTTTGAAGGACTTCGACATGTGCGCGCGACGACGCGCGCGTGTGCATTTCGCCTTGTATTTGTGATACACGGGGTTCTTAACAATTTCTGCAATTTGATAAAAGATAAGGATGGACATTGGGTGAGAATCATATGTGCTTTGCCTAGGTTTCCGCGGGGTTCGATAACTCAGGGGTGGAGTTCGGTATCACTAATTTGTTTAGAAAGGAGAGTTGATTTTTACAAACGAGTTGGCAAATGCTTGACGCTTCGTTGTTGCGAGAGTCTTTCGGGGGTGTTTTGGAGCCATGTTGGGGCTCTCTGGAGGTCCTCTTGGGGATTTCATCGTTTTTTTGGGGGGGAGCCACGTTGTGGCCCTCATTGGGCCCTTTGGACCCATTGGGCGGGTTTCATAGTCTCTTGGGGCCGCCATGTCTCCCGTAGCTCAAAAGGGGGGGGGCCTCAATTCGGCCCCCCCGTTTCGGAGGTTCCAACTTTGCATCTTCGGACCTTTCTGCGGGCGCTCTTGGGGTGTTGTTGGGCGCTCGCGGGACCCTATTCGGTAGGGTCTTTTTGGGCCCCTCCTGGGGCCCTTTTGGGCTGCCTAGGGGCCATACTGACGCTTCGGAAGCCCATCGGATGCGAAGAAGTCAGGCGGCAACAAGTACTGCATGTCCATGAGGTTTTGCAAACATTATGGCTTCTTGAGGGGGCCCATGGAGTGCCAGGAGGGAATTTGAAACCATCTCGGGGCCGGTTTGGGCAGTCTCCGATGTGTGTGGAAGCTACTTTGAGCCATCCCAGAGGGCTGGTGGGATTCCATGCTCTTGTAAACACTCCACCCACCCACCCCGCAACTTGGTTTGCAAAAGCCCATGCGGCGGCGATTGCGATGAGTTGTTGGCGATGGCTGGTGCATTTTTGCGGCCGCGCTAGCCCACGCATGCTCGCGCGCGCAGCGGCCAGGTGGCGTGGCGCGACCGGCGCGGCCGCGGTGGCGCTGACTGCTGGGCACCCCCTTCGGGCACTTCAGTGCGACGCGGTGTTTTGGACGGGCGGTGTATCATGGCGACGCGGACAACAACGGTAGACACGATTATGAGAGTAGCGATGATGGTGACGATGGTGGCGATGACGACATCACGGCCAATGACGGCGCCAGTGTTGATCACGCCCGCTGGTAACAATGACGATGTTCTTGCGTCGGCGATGAAGGAGTTCGGCCTGCGCGCGCGGCCGACGCGCGTGAGTGGCCCGCGTGGTAATTTTTGAAACGGGTCGTGCTCCCCCAAAACGCGCGCAAGGGCGTTCGAGCGAGTTCGACATGCGGCGCGAGAGGCCCGTATGGCAGGTTGCGGTGAAATTGTTCAAAAACCGATGACTTCGTACGAATTCGCAGGACCGCGGGCGCAGGTTTTGTTGAAAACGGATAGGGCAACACCATGTGGTCATACAGGTTTTCGGGGCACCCGTTTTTGAAATCCTTCCGAAACCGAAGGTTTTTGAAGGATTCCGGCATGCGCGCGCGACGACTCGCGCGCACGTCGTCCCACTTGTTGCGAGGAGTTTTTGCGACAGCACGCGCGCAAAGGCGTTCGAACGACTTCGACACGCGCGCGAGAGAGGCCCGTTTGGTAGCATGTTACGAAACAGTTGGAAACAATCCATATGTTCTTCTGAATTTGCAACAGCGCGGGCGCAGGTTTTGGTTGTAAGCCTCTGTTGCGAAACCATACGTTTTACTTGCCTTCGCGACTCGATGTTGAAATCTCTGCGGAACCTTAGTTTTTTGTTGCTTCCTGAAAAAGATGGATGCGCGCGCGTCGACACTCGCGTGTGCAGTTCATCCCGTTTCTGTTGCAAGGGGTTGGTGGAAACTGGTGATTGTTTGGTAACCAGTGCGCGCGCATACGATTTGCTGCAGAGGATGGAGGGGGGAGGGGAGGGGAGGGGCGGGTGCGAATTCTAGCCTGGCTGGAATGGTCTGAGGTCACAAGGAAAGTAAGTCAGGACACGCAGCCATGTGTACACTGCAATGCGCGAGGTTGGCCCTATATGTCCATAGGGGTGATCGGGGTGGGCTTCGTTAAGAAAGGAAAACCTGATGGTGCAATTCGCCCTGCCGAACTCGAAGCTGTCAACCCCATTGTTCGCGTGATCACCCCACCAATCCACCCGCAAGTTGGTTTGCAAAACCCACGCGGTGGCGATTGCGATGGCTGTTTGGCGCTGGCTGGCGCATCGCTGCGGCCGCGCTAGCGCGCGCAGGTGCGCGTACAAAGCGGCCAAAAGGTGTGGCGCTGATGCTGATCACGCCGATGACGATGATGGTGTCCACGTGTAGGTGATGAGGGTTTTGCACGGATTTTGACAGTCGTGTTCGGCCGACGCGGGCGAGTGGCCCGCATGACACGAGGTGGCAAAGACCGTGCCCCCACAGCACGCGCGCAAAGGACGTTAGAACGATTTCGACATGCGCGCGCGAAAGGCCCATTTGGTTACATGTTCCAAGAAACTGAACAAACAATTGATGGTTTCGCTTTGATTACGCACGTTGCAGAATCATGTGTTTTATATGCGTCCGGGGCACTTTGGGATTTTCTTTCTCTCCCGAGTTCCACCATGCGCGCGACGACGCGCGCGTGTGCACCTCGTCGCGTTTTGTTGTTTGATGTTGTTCGTTTCGTTATTCCTTCCTGGAGGGGGTCTTGGAATATCATGATGGTTGCTTCATAACCCAATGCGCGCACACT